TTTCTGTTTAATGGTCCTTCATTTTTTCACCATCTATCACCGTAATTATTTTACAATAAGAAAGATACTTCTCCTGGTAACACATTTTATTTAAAAACAAAACACCGCAAAACACTAAATGATGGTATTAGTCATTCAACTAAGCACAACAACCTTCTCCTGTTTCTAAATGGATACAAAGAGATTGAAGTTAGAGATCAGAAGATACTACTTTATTTGGAAGCTTTGCTTGAAGCTTTTTTTTTATTTCTTAATGTTACTGTTTACAGTTGAATGCATTCTTTTGGCTGCATGACTATCTTTCACTCTTGTCACTTTTTCAAAATTCTCTTGACACTGCTGGCAGGTGAGTTGTTAAAACTCAGCAGTTCTTTTCTTGCCAGGATCTGTCATTCTGCAATTTCCAACAGCTAGAGGTAGTCCTCTTCCTGTTCCACCTTCCTTCAGGTCCCACTTCCTTCCTTCATCATCCGATTCTCTATCTCTGTAAGCTAACTATAGCAATCTGTGGTCACCCCACGGTTTTCGTCTACAACTTCCACCCACATCAACCCATGTGGTCCATGATCGTGTTTTCCTATTCCTGTGACAATCTACCACTAAAACTCTCTCAGCTAGATGCCAGATGATTCAGCATAAACCACTGTATCCTCTCAGAAACAGCAACAGTAAGAAGGGCGGAGGGAGAAAACCAGAGCAGAAAACCAGAGCAGAACAAGCCTACAGGGAATATTTTTCCTCTAGGAAGGGGCACTCTGCTCACCCAAAAGAAGTAACTGTCAGGATATCTGAAAAACAGTCTTGCTCTGGCAGTTTTTGCATTTTTCTTTCATGTCTTTAAATAAACACTGAATGAAGAAGTGAGGAAGGAGACATGTCTTCACAAAGAAGCATCGCTCTATAAGGCACCACTAGAATTGCATCTAAAATAATTCAGTTGAGCGAACAAGATACACAAGCAGTTCTTGCCACCCTCAAGCATTTACTACTGTAGCGAATTACAAGCATACTGGGAATATTGAAATACAACTCAATTCAATTGCAGAAATTGCTATCAGCTGTATCCATGTAGTCCCAGTTTCCATCTCATGCTAGAAATGATTTTTATTTCTCCATAAAAGTCTCCATGGGCAAAACGTCAGTAATTTTGTACTGGTACAAATACTTCCAAATCTTTTGAATTCAGCTTCATCCATGCTTAAAGAGGTTTGCCTGGCGACCTCTCTCTACTCTTTTTGGCATCAGTAGAAAACCTTTTTATTTGTCCAATATTTTAATAGCTGAAGTAATTTTTAAGAGAACATTTTATATGGAATTTCTTGTATTTTAATGCTACTGTGCCCTTGGATTAATCGGAATTGTGGCTGCTGTGAGGTTTTTATTATAGGTTTTTATTGTTCTTTACTGTTATGGTATGTGTGTTAGATGTAATACTACTGTTTTATTGTATATGCTGTTGTGTTTTTTGCAAACCTCCCAGAGAGGTTTCTGGCTAATGGGCGGTGTACAAATTCAGTAAATAACTACTACTACTATTACTACTACTACTACTACTACTACTACTACTACTAAATGTCCTCTAGAATATCTTCTGGCCACCTCAACCTAGCACCAGACATGCACTCTGTGGGTGAAGAGACAGAGTTCATTGCACCGAGCCAAGCAGTTGCATGCTATCCCAACACAGGTATTAGAATAGGAATTGAAGTATAATTATAGTCTCAGCACTAATTTTGTTTTTGGATGAAGGTTTCTTGTTAGAGAGCAGGATATGAAACAATGGGCTTAAAGCCAGATTGCAGAAAGCCAGATGCTGGCTAGATATCAGGAAAAATTTCCTGACTGTTAGAGCAGTACAGCAATGCAACCAATACCCCACGGAGGTTGAGGGCTCTCCCACACTGGAGGCATTCAAGAGGCAATTGGACAGCCATCTGTCTGGGATGCTTAAACTTGTGGTCCTTTTAGGTCCCTTCCAGTTCCATTGTTCTAAGAGTCTATTATATAATTCATGATTTCTTTCTGACACTTTGCCAATGAACAAGTACTTGTGTATTTCCCAACCTTCTACCTACCCCTAACATTTTTTAAAACATTGACTTGTAAAATGTATTAATGAATTTGAAAAGTAAGAATAGAAACGCAATAGGACAAACCATAAAAAGAGAAGAGGGAAACTTAATCAGATGTCACCCAAACAAATTGGCCCGCCAAGGACGGCTTCACCTGTCTAAGGATCAGATCCCTCTCTTCATCTTATGACTAGAAGCACCTCAAAAGGACTGCTTCCAGCACAATTTGAAGATGACAGTGCATTACTTTGTTTTTAACCTTGGGACCAGTAAAGTTCTTGTATATTAAAGTAAAATATTTCTATCCCTTAGGACTTTTTCTTAAAATCACATTTTCTTTAATTTTTAATCATTCTAATTCATTGCCTGAATGGATATCTAAACCAAAGTAAGTGCAAACATATACACACATATTGGCATATTTTACGCAATATGGTCTACAATTATGTTTAGTTAACCCAGCAGTAAGATATCCAAAATATGAAAAGTTTAGAATAAACTGATCTGGATCGGTCTTTTTTACAGCATAGCAGAAACAGATGCAAAATGGTGTTAAGCTTTATCACACAATAATCAAAGAGCAAGATAACTTGATAATAAGGCAAGCAGTTCCTGGAAGATCTTAAAATTAACAGATGTTGGGGGAAATTATAACAACTAAAAACTGAGAAATGAAAGTAATAACAATTGAAACAGAATTGTATATACTAACTTGCTTTAAAGCAGCTTAGTCTTTAATGATGTTTTTCTAGAGATTTTGTGTAGTAGTGGTATGTACATTGAAGTCTGGAAAGTTTGCTATTTATGTTCATAGTTCAAACACTGTGTAGATTGCCTGTTATTAGACTTACAACAGAAAAACACAATTTTATTTTATACTTATTTTATACTGGCTTAAAGCACCCAGTAAACGTTATGGCTGAGTGGGAGTTCAGATTCAGAAATCTTGAGTCCCAGTCCAGCTCTCTTACTTCTACAACACAGTGGCATGGGAAGTCATTCCACATTTTAGATAAATGCAAACCATTCCAGCCATGGGCATTCCACATTTGGAAACAGCCTTCCAAGGATGACTTTTTTTCAAAAGAGAGAGCTTTACTTTTGGTTCCTTGGGAGGAAAAGCAGCCTACAACCAATCTTTCTACTTTCCCTGACTGGTAAATTTTAGCTCCTTTTAAAGTTCTTCCTTCATTTAAATTGTACAGGATTTTAACTTCTGAAATATCATATAGAGTGCCAGCTGCTCCATATGGAGTGTGTGTCCTTTCTGTGGTGCAGAAAATCAGTAAAATTTTCTATTTGTACTTGTGTTTTAGTGTTAAAGTTCCATCAAAAGGATATATTTTGGAAAACATATATGTCCATTTTGTATAGAACCATTAATTTCTGAATGTATGAACCTATCATTTCTTGATCTGTTGCTATTGAGATTAATTAAAATGGATCTATTGTACTCACACTCAAAGAAAATGCTAAATAAATTCAACAAATGGCCAGTCTTTTGACTCGTGGGCAATTCTACAGCAATGACTCTCTCACTAATTATCAAGAACTTATGGGAAGAGGAAAGGAACTGCCCACATGATGACACACAGATGGTCAGTAATGAAGTCTGGACAGGCAGATAACATTCACCAAACAGAAAGACAGTGCTGGACTTAAACTCCACAATATCTCAGTGGTTTCAGTGTTAAAGGCAAACATTTTGAAAAGACAATGAATAGGGACTGTTAATCCATTAGATTTTGATGTCTCATCCTCTTAAAACTCTTTTACTGGGGAAAAAAAAACTCATGACATTGCCATTCAAATCCATCCGTTAAAGCAGATAACAGTATGAAGTCATAGCAATCAAGTTCAGAAGCTGACCGAATAAACCGTTTGTGGAATAAGGTATCCATTTATTATTTTTAATAACTCATGGTGTTGACTACGATTTGGCTGAGAAAACTCAGCAGATTAGCTTGAACTAAGACTGAGACAACTGCCAAATCCTTCTTCCCCCATCTGCAGGAACAGATGGGGAAGAACTTGGGATAAGCCTAAACTGGGAATGGAAACCCATTTTTAATCTGGAGAATACACTTCCAATTTTAGAACTAGCCAGTAGGCTGAACCCCAACTGCACAAGCACACTCTTTGTCTCCCATGCACACAGGGTGAAGATAGCATAAAATATAATGTGACTCATGCAAGAGTCACTTTAAACTTTATCCTGCTAAAACACTTCTGCTTACCATCTGATACGCAAGGCTGGAAAAAAAATCTATGTACTGGACTTGCATATTGTAATTAGACCTCATTTTCTAGGATCCCATTGGTTTATATTTATAGTAAAGACACCCATGTTGAAGCATTATTTAATTATTTAATTATATCCCACCTTTTTCATTCTGAGGAATGCAAGGCAGTGTACATAATTTGTTTTCTTCTCACATTCTTATCCTCACAATAACAAGGTAGGTTGGGTTGAGGCTCTGTGATTGGCCTAGACACCCAGTGAACTCTGTGGCTGAAGTGGGGGCTAAGACCTAGAGCTCCCAAATTTCCAGTCCAACACTTTTATCCACTACACCACACTGGTACCACACAGTTGACAAACCATAACTTTTCCAGCCATCTTGGTTGTCATTGTCTTGTTGGACCTGGTATTAGTGATGCTGCTGGAGCATCATACTTTGATTTTCTCCTAACCAGGCCAGAATACAGCAGGAATGACAGGACCATGCCAAGCCCCAACTCTGAGTTGGACCCTCCTTCTGTGATCACTACTTGTTCAGTCCCCCTATCCTACTCACTATAGAGCCACACATTTAATATTTACTTGAAAACATCAGGCTTTGCTTTGGAGAACTTCACAGCATTCCAGAGACTTCAGAAATGATTTGGCATTACTTCCTTTTAGACTGAAACTCAAAGAGGTGTTACCTGTCTGCATCCACAGTCACGTCATGTACGCCTCTTTGAATGACATCTCGGGAGGCAGCTATGTCCGGTATTCGGTTCAAGCTTCTCGTATACAGGTTGAGCCCTCCATCTGTCATGTAACTGAAAATAAACATAAAAGAAATCATAAGAAAATCACACCATCTGGTACTACCTATTTATACTATGCAGTCAATTCAGCCCTGTTACAGGCCTACAGAAAGAGATGAGAACTTATTTTGCTCTGCACCACTGGTATTCAAGTGCAAGGGTCTGAAATCTTGCTAGAGTAAATCTCACCAAAAACCAGAGTAGATGTGATGTGATAGCTCTGTGAATACCAGGATCTCCCATGGTTTTTAAAAATGTTAATAGCAGTCAATACACATGTCAGTAGCTCAGTAGCAGAATGCTTGCTTTGTAAAGACCCCATATTAATCTCTGTCATTTCCAATTAAATGGAGCAGGGAGCAATGATGGAAAGGCCTTTCTCTGCCTGACACACTGGAGAACTGCTGGCCATCAGAACAGATAATGCCAGGTTAGCCTGAGAAGCAGTCTGAGCTCATGTAAGTCAGCCCTTTCCCTATAGGATACATACTTGGGCTTCCTGGCTGTGGCACTGTAGAACTAAACATTTCCTTTCAAATTGTTTTCCCTATTAATTCATGTGCTCCATGGGGAGAAATGAACAGGTCCATGAATCATAAATGATGCAGGGAAAGAACTAGGCTTTTAACCCTGCAGCTTGCTAAGAAGTCTGCAGCTGTTATTAGCTCTCATAGCATGTCTATACTGGCCCCAAGCCAGGATAACAATTGTTACAGTTTTGTTTTGTAAGACAAAGAAGGATGGTTTAAGTTTGCCGCTTCCATATGGAGTGGTGCAGAGAACTTTTCCCCCTAGCCTCTGCTTGCACATGCACAAATGTATATTTTAAAAATATACAACTGTGGTTAACTAGGAGTTAACTGACCTGCTCATTGTGAAGTACTGGAGTTCTCTCATATAAGGCAATCATCTGTCTGGAAATACACCCTTCTAAGAAATGAAGCTCATGCCAAAGGTTTCCACCAGAGAAAAGATTTGAAACTAAGTCTTCCATCTGAGATAGTTTCACTGTGGGTCATGAGGGAAGGGCTCTCAAGCAATTTTCCATGTGAAAATTGAAGTGGGACAATTCTGCTGAAGTTCAACTTAGCAAGTAAATGCAGGAGGAGGCAGTAGAGACAGGGAAAGTTTATGCTCGACTGCCCATTTGTATTTGCTGATCTTCAGATAACAGATATCTGAGAATCTGATATCAATAAAAAAAGGACAAGGCTATCTGCACCCACCCATCTCTGAGAGAAGGATTAAACATTTCAGTCAGGGTTCAGGACTTGGTTTGTCAGAGTTCTTCTGCCAGCTTTGGCTTGTGGGCCAGCTATGCCCCTATCTGGACAGGGATAGCCTGACTTACTTACTTACTTACTTACTTACTTACTTACTTATTTATTAAAACATTTTTATGCTGCCCCATTCGCCGAAGCCTCGGGGCGGCTTACAACATAGACTTCAGTAGTCTATGCTCTGGTAATCTCTAAACTTGATTACCACAATGCACTCTATCTGGGGTTGGCCTTGATGATGGTTCAGAATCTACAGCTGGTGCAGAAGGCTGCAGCCAGATTAATAACTGGGACACAGAGATCTGAACACAGAAGTCTGGTTCTGTCACGCTTGTATTGGCTGCCTGTATCCTTCCAGTCCCTATTCAAGGTGCTCGTTTCAAGTTAAAAGAACTTACATGGCTTAGTACCACAATATCTGTTGGATCATCTCTCCCAGTCTCAGTCAACTCAGACAATACACTCAACCTTTGGGGCCTTCTTCCAAGTGCGAACTCCATGTGAAGCATGGAGAATGGCAACAAGGGGGATCTGTTTGGTGGCCTCCTATCTATGGGATAACTCCCCACGGTGGCCCAGCTCACACCAAATCGGTCATTTTTCACTGCCATATTAGGACAACCCTTTTTTCTGAGGCCTTTAAAGACTTGATTAGCCACCTAGGAGCCTAAGGAAGATTACCCATCCCTGGTATTTCTGCAGTCTTTCTTTGTTATTGTCTTTTTAAGCTGTTTTAAACTTTTTAATGTTTTTGGATTTTATGCTTTATTACATTTTATTGTCTGTTTTTATGGATTGTGTGAACTGCTCAGGGAACTTGGGCTGTGGGGCAATATAAAAATGAAAAAAACTACTACTGCTACTACTACTACTAATGTTGCCCTGTTTCCTTTTTCATTCTAGCATATGCACAGAGATGCCAACAATCAAAACAAGAAGTGAGATGCTAGCTTCCCTAATTAGCATTGCACATCATGGCCTAATTACATTAGACTTTATCCATGCAGGCAAAATACTGTATCTCAGCAGCGGAACACATGCTTTGCAATTAAACCATCTGAGATTTAATCTCTGGAATTCAGGCCAGCCCTACCATTAGCCAAAGTGGCATGGTCATCTCCAGCATCAGATCTTAGGATCCATGAAAGGGCAGAAAATTGTTATTTGATTTCTTGTTAATGCAAGTCTCTGGCTGGGAATGGGGAGAATGACGATGTTCTGCAGCATGTGCCAAAATAATTTGGCTGCCTTTGTCTAGGAAGCTTGACTCTGATGAGTGAAGCACTCTCAGGCAGCTGGGCCTGCTTCATCTTAACAGATAGAGCTGTTTGAAATCCTGGAAGGACATGACCAATCACTGTAGATAACATTGAGATAGAAGGACCACTAGTCAGAAGGATTGCAGATTACAGTTCTTAAACATGAAAGTGGTCCACACATGCTCTGTAAATGCACTTAGTTTCCATGGATAACATGCCCACTGAAGGCCTGAGGGAGTGTGCTGCACTTTAAATTTATATACAAATGGGCACTTTCATGTGATATGTGCCTTTAAGCATAATAAGGTGAAGATGAAATGTGGAAGGCCTTTAAACATGACACCCATTCTGGTCATAAAGAGCCCTAGTCTGGAAAGAGCTTCCATGGGAACTCACCCAGCTAGGAAGGCAAGATTCACATATTAAAAGGATGGGAATTTGATTATCATAGAATGGCCATGTAAATAACTTAAAGTTAACTCCAGATCTTTATTCTGGATTGTTCTTCGAAGCAATTATCCGTCTTAATGGGATCAGTCCTGTGGGTCAAATGAATTCGAGTTTGCCCAGAGAACATGTATGCACAGACTAAGACATTCCAATCTGGTCACCATGCACTTCGATCACTTCTAGAAGTTTAACATGAACTTGTCTTCTGTGGAATGCCAGATAATTTCATAAAGCTCTATTATCTCATGCATTCTGCAGGAGGAGGGCTCTGGATACAACCTGAATGTTTCAGTAGAGTTACAGATGAAGCAAATTGGAGGAAAAATGGAGGAGAACAGCATATACCACTGAATTCATGGTATTTTGATTTTTATGCAGTTAAAGGTATTAGCAGAGAGGCTGAACAGATGCAGTAGGCCTCTCTCATATTAATTCCTAATTACTGCTGGATTCTCATCCCCAAGTGTTTAAAGTAATTAAAGTGGGAATGAAAGGGGGAAAAGAGATAAGACTCAGCATGCCTGAATAAAGAATGAATTTTCAGTACTTATTATTCATTTTAATTTTTCTTTAAAAAATTAAAAAACTCTGAAAAACTGTTCTTTAGAATGTTCTGGCCAAAAGCAGTGCCACTTCCCACTGTTTACTAAGCTGCTTTCATGACAGATGTCAAGAAAAACAGCTTAATTTAGCCTCCAAGGTGATGAAATAATTAATACATTTTAAATCAGGTAACACAAAAAACCCTGTCATAAGTTAAATGTTGAGGAAAATCAGGAGATGCCATAAGTGTTAAGAAAAGGAGCATCCTGGCCCAGACCCGAGACCTCTCTGGTCCAGCTTTTGAGCTCAGCCAGATGCCTCAGCCATGATAGTTAGCCAGATGCCTGAGAGCCCATACATAGAATATGAGTGCAATGGTACCCACTCCCTTATTTTCACCCACAGCAGAGAGACATACTGATTCTGGATGCAAAATATAGACATGTGATTAGTAGCTATTGGTAACTTGAATTTCACATTGATTTGAGCATTTTACAAGAGCCATTCACCATGGACCAAGAGAAAGATGAACAAATGGATGCTAGTTCCAATCAAGCCAGATATTTCCCGAGAAGCAAAAATGACAAAACTGAGGCTGTCGTACACTGGGCACATCATAAGAAGGCAAAGCTACCAGGAGAAGACAATCATCCTAGAGAAAGTCAAAGGCAGAAGAAGAAAAGGAAGATTAAATATGAAAGGGATTGATTCCATGAGGGAAGCTGCAGGGTTGAATTTGGAAGCTGAATAGGGCATTTTGGAGGGCTTCCATTCCCAGGATCACCTTGAAACAACTTGATAGCATATAACAATAAATTCACTTTCATAGATATACATGTTATTGTTTACCAAGGAACAGGTAAAAAACAGGACAGTGATATCTACTGCCATTGTTTCTTTTTAAAGAGGAGCCCCAAATCCATTAGCCAGGCCCAATCACAAAATTTGAGCACCAGCCAACCCAGAATCAACAGCTCCAACAAGTGATCTGTTTTCAGAAGCACAAAGCTATGGGCTGACTAATAACTGAATATGAATTAAATACTGGAGGAGGACTTTATAAACCAATCCAAAGAGCACCACTGCCAGGGCAAGAGTAGATGGAAGAAACATTTACAACTCATTCCTTTACATACACACAACAAAGTCAGTGAGCAACACACAGCTTTACTTTCAAGAAAAGGCCATTTCCTTCAGTAAGGCTGATATCCTAGGGAGAATGCCTAGGTGGAATACTTAGCCTTGATTTCAGGCATGGCATGGTTCACACAAGCATGGAGGAGAGAATAAGTGATAGTGGCTCATATCTCTTCTGCCTTGCATCCTCCTGCATGCTGGGGAGATTGGCATAATTACCTTTTCTGGTTTGGCTTGCTGGGTTTGTCATGCAAACCCAGTGAGGCCAGTTTATAATAAGCCACCCCAGATTCAAATAGCTTGTTAACCATGGCAACAGACATCCCTTATCATATTTCTATAACAAAGGTAATTATGTAAATCCACTCAATATGTGACAAGCAACTGCCACAGGGAAATAAGGACTTTGATTTCAAAAGGCTGGCAGGGGAAAAGAGTGTTTTAGAAAAGCAGGGAAAGTAGGACTCAATTGGCTGGTTTTTAATCAGTGCCATACCCAGCCATGGCTTAGTGATTGTGTACACTGGTCATTTTGAAGAATCTAGTCATACTGCTAAGGATCCGTGGTTTATCATGTCATCTGAACCCAGCAAGTGTGGGTTGTTTATGTGGCTAAGAAATCACCCACAAACCATGATCTGTTTTAAGCATGTGGGTGGTCTGTTAACCATGCCAATGATCCATCCTTACCAAGCATGGATGACATGACAATTCTCATGACCACTTGCTGCAGTTTAAACATAAATGGCAACAAGGCGATGGTAGGCACTGCAATTCAGCATGGTGTAAACATTCTCCTTATATCTAATCCATATACGAATGCCATTTCTCTTCCATGTATGTGCACACACATTTTCTCTTTCTGATCATCTTTGTGCACATGCTGTTTGTTTTGTAAAAGTACTTACACCCAATCTCCTTTGCTATCTTTCATGAACAAAACGTACTTTCACAGCGAGTGTGCATTTCCTTTTGTCCTAAGGACACTAGAGATTGCTGAGCTTGTCCTGATTCTCTGGGGGTTTTAGAAAATATATTTTTAAGGATTTTTGAGCTGTGCCTTTGGTTAACTATTCTTCGGCTTTTTCAACAAAATTCATTCATGAATTGGTATGATCATACAGTTATGATTATAAGGGCCACTGATTTCCATGTCCATGCCAGCATTCTCTTCTCATCTGAGTTCTTTCACCATGCTGTGCTGGCCATGAAAACATCACAAAAGCCATTGAACAGTCTGTTTGGTTCTTCTGCACTGAAACTCAGCATGGCAGCTCCAGGAATAGTCATCTCCTTTGATGCAAGGGAACAGCCAATTCCCTAATGTAAGGGTTATATATACAGCATGATCCAGGTGTGTGTATATATATATATATATATATATATATATGTATATATGTATATATGTATGTATGTATGTATGTATGTATATATATGTATGTATGTATGTATGTATGTGTATATATATATATATATATATATATGTATGTATGTATGTATATGTATGTATGTATGTATGTATGTATGTATAAAGAGAGATCCACTGGGATCAATCACAGTTTTTAATCTATATCTTCTTTAGCTTTCCCTCATGTAGATTGCCCCTTTCCACCTGTGACAGGAAATCAGCCAATCTGAATTTAAATCAGGGAAAGGGCAATAGATGAAGTATTTAAAAATCCTCTTTAATAGCACCATTTTCCTAACCTTCAAATCAGCTATGCAGTGCTGCTAATTAATCTTGTTTCATTCTGAGTCTCAATTCTTCTGAGCAATTTAAAACTCATGCAAAGCTGGGCTTTGCTGCTGGCTCTGCCATGGACACGAAGTTCTCAGGATAGGCCCATCCTAACAACCCTGCTTGTGGGCATGTCGTCTTTGGACATACCCTGGGCATGAGCTTCCCTGCTCCTTCAGTGCTCTGCAGATTTTAAGACATGAATAAACATTTTGCCAAATTCTACTTGAATACACTATAGCATTGGCATGTTTTCTACAAATAGCGGGGATAAACACATATTTTCTGCCCACCAAAAATGCCAAGAAATTGGTAAAAGGTAGGAATGGAGTTTATATCCAGGCAACCATCCAATACTTGCTGATTAAATTTATAGGTGTATTTATCAAACACCAAATGGCTGCTGAAGTAAGCCAAGATGGCTGGTAGAGGGTGCCAAATTGAAAGCCTTAAATAAATTTGGCTTTATGGTTGGTAGATTAGTGCCTACTTGACATAAGGTTAAAACTGATTGTTATAATGGACACCAAGCTGCCAGCACTTCCCTTTTTCTTGCAACAACTGCAAAGCAACATATATGACAGTACTTATTTCAGCCATAGTGGATTATGGTGTGTCTCAGGCATGTTTGGAATATCCAAGCCACAACTATTGCTTTTCATGTCATGCAAACCCAGCAGGGTTGGATTGTTGGCATGATTAACAAGCCACCCACAAACCACAAAGAGCCTATGGGTTTGTTAACCTTGCCAATAATCCACCCTCACTATGGACAAGCCACAGCTTTGGCCTGAATAATCAAAAGAGTCATCATGGGTGGCTAACCCATCGTGGCTTAGCATGATATGTGAGCTGGCCCACTGACTAAGAGAAAGAAAAAAAAAGACTGGTGTCCAATATTTCCAAGAATAAAATGTATCAGATACTAACCAGCATAGTTATGAATCAATCTTCTAGGCAAACATTTAAAAACTGGCTCTATACCTACAGAGCAAGCCCAAATAAATTATTCTGCACTTAAATACAACCACCTTATTTCACCATCAACCTGTAAGCAAATCCTGATATATGTAATACACTATTAAATATAGCGAATGAATGAAGCTATCTCTGCAGGTATTCTTATATAAGCTATAATAGGAACACTGAGAAATTGTAAAAAAAGCCTGCTAGCATTCAAATCTGACAGTATGATTATAATAGAAGGATTTTGTTTGACCAACATGAACATTATCTGCCAAACTTTAAACACTAAAAATGAGAGGACATGCTAAATGCAGAAAAATAAAAGGTTTGGCTTCAGCAATAAAACATTTTATAATCAACCATTCCATTTTGTTAATATCCATAACATGACACTGTTGTTGTTGGAGTGTCTATGAAAATCAAAAACCAGTTTTCCATTCATGTGAAAGAAGAGTATTTAAATTAGTCCTGCACAACTCATGGCCCACAAAGCTAAACACTGCCATTCAGCCATACATGGTAGCTTTTGCTGCCTATGGAATCCTAAAGATGTGGTGGGAAGGTCTCATGAGATGCACTTGTCAGACTTTAATAGATGGCTGGGGTACAGTATTCAGAAATAAAAAAAGAACTAGGTCCAATATGACAGCAGTTTTTATTTTTAGTTCTACCCACCCACCCTATCCCCATATGATGGGGAAAGAGCCTTATCATAAGAAGGTGATCAGATGAAGTATAATTTAGAAAATTATGTATGCTATATGGAAAATAGGGTACAATTTCCTCCATAAGTGCTCGATTCTTGCTTTTAGAAACCAACTCAACTAAAATGAGGATTCAGAACAATCTCAGACTTTGCTTTGTCTGCAGGAAAAGAGAGTTCCACCACCGTGGGGCTGGCACCAAAAACACCCAAGTATGTGCTCTTGCTGACTCTGAAGCTGGTGCTGTCAGTGGAATATTCTGAACTGATATTAGGAATCATGACAGAATATAAGGAGGAGGGAATTTCAAAGGCACATAAACTGAAGTCTTTTAGCTAAAAACTCAGCAGTTTTACTGGTACTGTGAAGATGAAAGGGACACAGCGCACAAGTGCCAGTATTATTTATTTATTTGATAGATTCCTTTCTTGCCTCGTAAAGTATTCATCTTCACAAGCTGGCTTATAGGTTGGTAAGGCAATATAACAAAATTACAATCTATTAAAGCAATGACATGCAAACAAAAACATGAAGTCACATTAAAATAGCAGCAGTTGCAAACAAAACCATTTTAAAAATCGAATGCAATAAAATGTTGCTGAAAGAAAGCAGAAGTTTTCAGGACCCAGCTAAAAGCTAGAAACAAGAACGTTTATCTCTCAGAGTGCGAGTGGCACAGATGTGGGGGCACCACAGGGAAGGCTCGTGTTCTTAGTAACCCAATCACCCAATCAGGGAAGGTGCTGTGAATCACATGGTGCTTTTCATGAGAATATATGAGTGATAAGTTGTGCAAATTATAGTATGAAAAAGGAAGACATTAGGGAAACACCAGACAAACCTAACTTCAACTGGTGTTCTGGATCTGGAGTAGGATTAACTGATCCATTTACCTTCTGCAGTATTGTTTTTTGTTTTTGTTTGTGTTTGTGTTTAATTTCAAGTTCATTGTGTACTTTTTAATGCAAATTTGAATTAGTTCTTATTAAAACTGAACTGAAGAAATTCTCATCCATCTGCACTAGCTAAATTAAATGAGTACTGCCATCTTCAACATGGGATAATCATTTTGAACTTCTCTGCCATGTAGCCTTTAAAGATGAAGAACCAGTCTGGGGGGTAGGGGGGCAAGCAGCACTGGGCAAATATGGCTAAATGCACAGGGACCTGGTTTACATGTCATGGCAAGTGCATGGGGTAAACCCATGGAGATTAATGACACACTGCATAATTATTATTAATAAACACCTGAGGTGGGAATGCACCTCAGCTTATCATACCATATAAACCTGCCATCGTGGGTTATTGACACGGTTAACAAGCTACTCAGAACCCATGGCCTGTTTTAGGGTTTCTGATGGGTTGTTATGGTAAGCATGTCATGAGTGGAGCCAGCTGGAGCCAGGGGTCAGACAAGAAGACCCGGGAGACCCCTTCTGACTCGTTCTGATTCTTTGTTTCTATACAGCACCAACCCACTAGCTCAGGTATTCAAACCTACCTCTTAAAGAGCTAAGCACTCAAAAGTTCCCTACCTGGATAAACAAATGCATCTATTTCCTTTTGTCTCACATTGAATATTTTAAAATAAATCCTAGTCCTTTCCAACCTTTCTTATGACTACATTGCAAATTGTAAACTCTTATACAATAAAGACAATATTTATTAACCAAATTGTACCATCCTCTGTCTGGAGAAATACAAACGTACCCACTGTTGATGTCATCAGCACGAAGACTCTTCCCAAGAATGTCACCATCACTCATGTATCCTCCAACATCAACATCTGAGGAAATGTCCAGGTCACTGTTTCCTTTTTCACTTATATCAATCTGGGGGATGTTCCCAAGGCGAGAAACAGCTGCACGACGAAGAGGCGTTGTGTACATGAACCGAGAAGGGTCAGTATGGATGAAGCGACTAGCACCACTGCGGGGGTATCCTCCACCCAGGGAAGGAGCATCACCTGCCTGGAGACGAGGACTGGCTTGACCAAGTCTCCAGGTCACTGGAGAGGATCGGCTTGTCAACCCCGGAATGCTTCGCCCATTCACTTCAGTTGTCACAGTACTGTCAAATGTTGTCTCCAGTGTGCTGTCAAGCAAAACAAAAACTGATGAACTGTGCTTTCTATATTTCTGAGTATAGGGCAAGGGAGACAGAAAAATCACACACAGAAAAAAAAAGGCTTGTGAAAGATGGAATATATATTTGGAAGCACCATCCTGACCAATGCTCACATTTTCTTAAAAGGAAGCTATGAAATGCATTAAGAACTAAAAGAAACAAATGAGTATATCACACCATTCACCCTGCTCAAGACTTTATTTAAAGAATTGATATGAAAACTGAGTATGTGGGCTGAGGGAGCAGAATCGAATGCAAGAATCCAATGGGAAATGAAGGTTTTCACACACCATGTTCTAAATGGAAATTGGAAAAAGGTGTAGCTATGTGCATAAAGACATTTTAAACAGTTTATCACTTCTTAGCTGTATGGATGCAATAAAATTGTTTTTATGTTTTAGTAAGAAGATGACTTTTGCTCTCTCGGACATACTGAAGTTTAAAGACATGCATTTCTTCACTGCCCACCTGGCACTCCCACCCTGAATATCCTTTTGAACAGGGCATATGAGCATAAAGTCTAACACACATCAATTACTTGATATCCATAAATTATCAGGATGGCTGGGGACTATGTTTGTTGATGTTTACACATGTAGGCACTATTCAAAAGTTTCACAACCCTACAAAAGGCATGAGGAAGAGAAGCAGCAGACTTGAGTCTAGGCCTTATTGGAAGGAAGAAGCAAATATAATCTCACCCACTATGGGAAAAGGTCATATCTAACTAGTAGAGAATGTGCCTTGCACATAGAAAAAGCCATGTTTCATTTCCAGCCTGAACTCCTACGTGCAACCTTGAAGACCAGCTATAAACCAATGTAACCAATCTTCAGCTAGATGGATCAATGGATTTAATAGAAGACAGTCTCCCAAGGGTGTCATTCCCTGATGGAGTCATTCCACCAGCAGGAGGAAACAGTGGCTGAATGGATTTTTCCTAAATCTGCTTCAGAAGATGAGGGCTCTGATATGTTATTAGGGTAGCATGGTGGAGAAGAGGACAGAGAAGTCCTATATGAATGGAAGTCCTATTGTACAAGCAGATGTCTATTCACATGATGGTTAGATCCTTCTAATTTATTCCAAAGTTGTGAATCGGATAGTTTGAAACATGCCACGTGAATAGGATGGACTGGAGACAGGTGTTGGCCAACTGGACACATTTACTTCATAATTTATTTTGCATTAGGGATTTTTGTTTCATCTTAATGCTATGCTTTACTATATATATTTCATTTCACCCTGATGAACACAGTTATTTCTAAAAATAAAAGCCCTGCAATATAAAAGACACTGGGGTCTGATCTGTGACATTCCAGAAAAATGTTCCTGTGCATTTACTCTGTTGCATTTACTGAATAAGTGCTTCAAAATGCATTACATTTCAGGACTGGCTGTCTACTTCAACATTAAAATGAGTGATGCTGGAAAAGCATAACTCACCACCAAACTATGCTGAAGTACACCCAAGCATATTTGTAATACAGCAACTGTACACATTTTGCAGGAAACCAGACCTGTGTATTGCAAGGCTGTTCTGTTTTATCTTGTCTTCTCAGCCCAACTTACAGGTTGAAAATTGGGACTTTAAGGAGCCTAATGACAGCCATAATGGTAATAACATTGGGAAAAGCAAACTGTTATCTCAGTGTTGAAGTTACCCTTGCAAAGTCCAACTCTACAAGCCCTCAATTTTTGTCTTATACCACCATATGTAATGAATCCCACTAGAAAATGGTACCTGTGGCTTATCTGAGTTCCTCTAAGACTGGACATAGTTTCTTCCAAGTTCTGTCTCAGATCTGCTATATTCTTTACAGTTCGCATTCGTCTTGCTTCAGGATCTTCCCCTGAAAAGCAAAGTATATCTAGATAAAGCAAACAGTACATTGCATGTGCAATAAAAGCAGGAATTGAAATCACCATCAGCTTAATTTCGGCCATACAGATGAACACCTTTTTATTCTATAGATGTGCACAATATTCATATTTTCTATTATACAAACTCCTTTAATGACGATGAATTAACTAATGGTACAAATAATATTTAGAATCTATAATACAAAAGAATCTTCAGACTTAGGATAAGTTTTAAACCAAGGGACAACATTTTAGCCAAGGCAGAATGAGTAAGAATGTAATCCTATGGCTGCTAAACAGTTTCTAGTCAGTCATAGGAATTTTTTTTTTAACTGCAAGTTACAAACTTGGAAATTTGCCCCAGCTAAAAGACTGGTTTAGCAGGCCTTCCAGGGAGCAAGCAGGGGAAGAGACAGAAGCTGCCAAGCCTGGTGGCACCTCAATCTCATTTTCTCCTGCTCCAAAATGCTTCAGTTAAATGACCAAAATTCTAACTATGCTGGGAGGCAGAAGGCAACTTTCACACACCTCCCTCCCTCCGCAGGATGCCAGTAATCCTCTGAATTTGAGGGTTACTGGCATCTCTGTGGGAGTCTTACTTAAAATTGCTTTAAACTTTCACTTTTCCGTGACGGCTACATTCATTTTGCTAGCAGCCTGTCAATGATGCTTTTAATTATATTGTAGAAGTTACTGATTAACATGCTGTATTTTATGCATACATGAAGCAAATCTTGAAGTGTGACATCAAGGATTGCTGCTATGTTCCAACAAGATTCCTAGGATGTGATGAGCAGAGAGCCATGAACCTGTGTACTTCTTCCCCTCCCACCCTCCTTGCCCATTTGCTGCTCCCCTCACTACCAGGAAATATTAAAACCTGTTTTGCAGGGAAAGGGAGATCCATCTTTAGGTAATTCTTTGTGCTTTCTAGAGTGAAGGAACAGGGAATGAGAGAGAAGATGGCATTAGCTAATGCCTGGTCTCAAACATGCCTGAAGATGCAAGATAGTATTTCCCAAAACAATAAATGACTAGGGATAGTAATACTAGCTTTGTAAATGTAAGTTTTCCCTGCTTTTAACACTCATTTTTGTTATGAGTTGGCACCCCTTATGTTGAAATGATTTTATTTCAATTGTCATTAACATTAAGGTATGTTTCATATTAATTTCCCACTTTTGCACCAGTGTGTTCAAGCATTCATCACATCTGTCCAGACGCTACTGGTTGCACTGAGAAAATTTATGTATATTTTAAGAGCAAAATCACATGCAAATGTGATGATTTCCTAAAAGGCATATTAGGAAATGCATGATAATCTGTGTATAATTTCTTTTGTACCACTGAACAACAAGCCAACTCACCAATTCAAAGTTTGGCCGACATGGCTATGCTCCCAGGAATGTTCTGTCCATTCCAAGGCAACAACCAATCTTGGATAAGGAATTGAAAAGATGTACATCAAGCTATCAGGCATCAATGCCTATATCAATGCCATATTTTACCAACTTGGTTGACTATGACTGTTCTGCAGTGGGAGATCACACATTTAGGATTCAGATTATTAGTGTTGTGTCAGCCCATCCCTCTCTTTGGATGCCCCTTTTCTACAGGAGATTCCACAGTAGGAAAGCATCTTTTAACTAGTTGTTTCCTTTTCTAGACTCTCGGGCCAGTGCAATTTCAGTCCTGTTGGAGATTTTACTGGGAGTGTTTTCTTGCAGCTTCTTTTGTGTTTGCTTGCCTACCCTTGGTAATGTTCTCATGCACTGAAGGTAGTTGGGGAAAATATTATGGAGGTCCACCTCTGGCTACTTGAACTCCACTGTGGGAAACAAAAAAGTTCCCTCTGATTGCACTCTTGCTCAAACAGCTTTCCTAAAAGTCCACTTTCAGTCCACTCCCAGAGATGAGAATACTGGTTCTTACTCTGCCCTCCAGAGGGCCTAGCAAGGGAGACAGCTCTAAGAAAATGAATGCAAATAAGAATACAAGCATACTTAATGAATGGTGTGAAAACACGGATTCATGATGCTTGGCTTCACTCATCTGCCATCAGGCAAAGTTACTTGTGTACATACCCAACAGAACCAAATGTGCTCTTACACAAGGACAGAACAGAATAAGCAATAACTGGCCGTACAAGCAGGGGCACCTAACTCCTGTATTAACAATCCAGTGGCTCACAACAGATACCTACAGTTAAGTACAAGAAAACAAAATAATTTGTGGGTATTGAGATGGCTAAGAAACAAAAAGCTATGCATTTGTACACTAATGTCATGGCAGAGAGACAGCCTGAACATTGTTGTACTCTGCCAAAAACTTTGAGAGGATCCAGATCTACATATACTGGGAACATACTGCAGTATCTGCTAAGCAAATAACAAACAAAAGTTACTACCTCTTGCAGTCCAAGTACAAGGCAGTGGTCCTACTTAGATGAATGCTAAACCATAGTTGTTATGGGAACAACCTTTGGAACGCTGTCTGGCTATGGTCTGGAAAGTACTTCAGGTGGAGGTTTTGAGCTAATTATCATGTTATGGGTAGTTACAGACAATAGATGCAGTCATGTCAATAGAAACATTTTTGTCAGGTAGAGTGAGATGCAGGGATGTCAAACATAGTCACTATAAGCATCTGTCACAGCAGGTACTCAGTCAAAACACTCAAAGCAGGAATAATTACAGGAGTTCACAAGTCAGGCAATCAGATGAGAATTTCAAGGACTTCCCAGTATGTCTGAACCGGCTGGCTGGCTGGCTGATTTCTCCACTAGAAATAAACCAACATGGAAAGGTTTGTTGCAGGAAGAATGTGAAGTCTCAGGTAGTCAGAACAGACCTGAAAAGGGCTACCTTTAGTCAGCAAGAATCCTTGCCCAATTTGTATTCTTAAATTTCTGTGAGGCTGAAGAAAATAAAGGATGAGGTAAGGTCACATCATTTTGCCAGAAGGGCACAAAGAAGGGTCCTGGAGAGTTCTCCTTATCCTTTGGCATCTCAAGCCTTATCTTCATGACAGAAAAAAACAGAAACTGATAACAACTGCATGGATTATCTGTGGCTTGGGGTGAGAACTTTGATTACCTCTGTTATTGAGAGGTTCTTCTGCAGCTAGTTTTTCCTATCTTCTGTAATCAGTGGTAGTCAACAGGGTGGAAAGGAACCCTTTACATCAGGAAGAATAAAGCTGCATCCTAAATTGTATGGGATGCATGCTGAGCACTGATATTGGCATGTGGTTTCCATTCTGCTCCTTTAATTATTTGAACTCCTTCCAAAATTGAGTTACCAACTTCCATGGAATCCAATCCCTATAAATTATTAAGTCACCCTAGCATAGTTAACATTAACATTATTTATTTAGTTATTACATTTCTCTGCTGCCCTATTATACCATACTTTGTGTATTTCTATGATGAAAAGCATATCCATCATGTGAAGGCATAGATCCAAGTAAGTGGAGGCAATGATGTTGGAAAGCACTCTGAAGATGAAAATCATGTTCCATGCATAGAACTAAAAACTGGGAGAAAAACTGTTAAGATCTTCTTCACCCTGTTCAGAGGGAACAGATCACTGTTGTGCTTGTGTTGAATGTATACTAACAAATGAAAACAGCCAATCGGACCTGTGCACCTTTGCCCACCAGCCTGTTTCCATAGAGTTGTGTTAGCAGATATTGAATTTTATGAGCCTGCATCAAATGTATCTGCTTTGTTTTCATTTTCTCATCTAGGACCTTCCTCCCTGCACATGTAGCGCCAATATGAGTATTTAGAAAACAGGAGGGATGAGGAATCCTGCTTAGAGGGACTCTGCAGCTTGCCATGTGCTTCCCTTATCTCATATATCCAGCAGAAAGCACATTCCCTGCCTCTTTTAAGTACATTTTCTGAGTTTCCTAGCCTTTCCTTTTTTGATGAGCACAAAAGCTCCCACTAAGCAAAAAATAAACTGATATACTATCCTACGAATTCTCATATTATGCTATGCATTAACTTGTATGAATATGAAAAGGCAGCTTTATAGAAATTCATACTTTTCCCCATCACAGTAGGGAGTTGACAGGACACATTTTTACACTGTCTGTTGGGTGGCAAATATAATTTACTTGCACTGATGGATGTACTCACATGGATACTGAAATGTCTGGTTACTTTTCAGACATTTTAAAAGACAATGGGTTAAATGTCTTCCCATATGTTTTCAAGATAATCATGACAAAAATTCATGTCTTATTTTCAGATGGGGAAACTGAGGTACATGAAGCTGCCAGCACCATGTTACCTCCTATCGTTGTAATCATCTTCATTTTAGAAAAATTACAAAGCCACACAATATTACTTCTGTTTCACCAGCACTTTACCTTAGTATTGGTGTGACATAAACCATTGTCCTCTTAGACTGAATCACCACCTGCTATGTATATGTATAAATGGCCATAAAACACAAATACAAACCATGCATCTGTGAAAATATCTACCCACTCCAGTTCTGTCATTGTTACAGGAATGTAATGTATACCAAAAGTCATAGATGGACAAACCAATTTCTTTCCATTCCTACAACCCATCATACAGGAACAAGCGGGGATCTTCTGATTTACCAAGACTGTAATCTCTTGTGTGTAAGTGTATTCACATTCTGCATAAGACATACCCTAAAGTTCAGATCTGACCATAAGTATATACTCCTGGGAAATTGCAAATGAGAGAAAGAAAAAGAGAGAGACAGACTTGGCAATGAAGGCACTGTTTTCAAAATTTTAATTATACAAACCCTCTGAATTCAGCACTTTGAGCAACCCCAGAGTTCCAAGAATAGGCAATGATGAAAAGTGCAGCCAGCTGCCGAGAGATCCTTTGAAGCACTTAAGTTGTGACTTCCCGATGCCTCCTTGCTTGCACTGATGTAGCTGGTATGTGAAGCCTTGGCACTCACAATTCTGCTCAAAGCTTGAATTTATGGATGAGATTTCT